GTGTCATTACTGGTCCATACAAAGCTTCCAGCCTTAATAAGATCCTTAACGGATCACTGGGGGTGGGAGGGTGGGGGATGGGGGTGGGAACGTTTAAGGCGATGCACTAAAAATGATATTTTAAGGGAGGCATTTGAGAATGATGTCTGATTCTTCTATTCTTCTTCTTTTTTTTTTTTGCAGTAACATTCCCCTTTAATAGCCTGGTGGGACCTCCAGTGGTGATGGAGGGGTGGCGTGCCGGGGCCCTGGCCACCCAGTCCCCTGAGCTCCGCACCCCAGAGCCCAGAGTGGGGGACTGGACAGCACCCAGCAGGGGGCTAGACAAGCCAATTCATTTCCCATTGCTGAGCGGGTTGGGGAAGGCAGCGCCGACCTTAATCACATGGTGGTTAAAAAAAAAAATAACTATGAGCCGGTGGCAGGGAGAGGAGGCCAGGCCAGGGCATGGGCTTCCCCCACCGGCTGCCCCATGCCTCCAACCTGTGGCCCCCAATAAATATTTGCAGGGGATGCCAGGCTGCTGGCCCTGGCGAGGGGGGGTGGGGGGTGTGTGCGCCAACCCTATTTCAGGCAAAGCTCGAAGTAGGTGGAGCCGATATAGCCGCCCCGCATGGAGCGCTGCACGTTCTGCTCAAACAGCTGGCGGCCTCCTAGTTCAGTGGGTCTTCAGGGTTGGGCTCCAAGAAGAGATACTGCAGGCCATAAATTATGGAGTTTATCGTAAGGACTGGCTTCCAGTCCTCTCTGAGGATGTTGAGGCAGACGTTGCCCTCGAGGTCAATGTTGGGGTGATACACCATCGTCCCACAGGTCACCTTGGGGGGGTGTCATGCGGGTAACCCTGGCCCCCCTTAAAACTGAACATAAGCTTCCCGCTCTTGTAGAAGCCCTCATCAGGACAGATAACCAGCTGGAAGTTGAGGAGGTCGTCGGGGTCTGAGAAGCTGATGTCACACGTCTTGGGCAGGTTCAGCTCGTTTATGTCCTTCTGGATCCGCAGCTGCGCCGCCGACGCCTTCTTGCTGCTGCCCTTGGTGCCGCCCGGGGCGCCTCCTCCTTCTTCTGCTGCTTCAGCGAGAACAGCTGGATCATCCGGCCGCCGCCGCCGCTCCGCGCCCACCGCGCGGCCCTCGCCGGCTCCCGTAGTCCGCCTCGGCCTGGCCCGCCCGGGCGCGTTCGGAGGCGCTCGGGGGCGCTAGGCCCCGCCCCGCCCCCCGCCGCTTCCCGCCCCTCGCGGCTCGTCGTCCGCGGCCGGGCTGGCGGCGGCTCCGCGGGGCGCCCGGGCTTCTCGCCGCTCCGCGAGGGCGCTGGAGGTTGCGGCGGCGGCGGCGCGGAGGGGCGGCGGGTCCCGCAGGGCTCGGCTTCGCGGCAGCGGTGGCGTCGGCGCGGGCGTCCGCAGCGGCCCCGCCCGCCGCCTCGGAGTGACGTCTGACTCTTAATGAGGCCCTGCTAAACCGGGGTCCCAGTGTCCAGGGTAGCTGTAAGAATGAAATGGAAGGGCCCAGTTCCAGGCTGTGTTAGTTTCCTGGACAATACATTTCAGGGTCCCCAATTACTCGGGACCAGTTAGAAAACAAAGACTTTACTGTAAAGGGCAGGAATGGACACAGTGCAGGTTTTCTGATCCCACGCAGACTGGGTAAAGGAGGAGTCAGAGTCCTCAGTGGCTTTGCAGGTTTTTATTGGGATTACCAGGTACATGGCAGGCAGGAGTGCTGAGGGGCTGATAGGCTGGCAGGCCTCCCAGCCCCCAGCAGGTCTGCACTCTGGGCTCCCTGGCCTTCTCTCGGCTTCTGCTTCTCTTGCTTCTCTCTTGGCTTCTCTTTTAGCTTCTCCTGGCGTCCCCGTGACGCTGCCCTTAAAAGCCCAGTCCCAGCCCAGGTGAATCCCATCTACCTATGCCCACACCCTATTCCAGGTGCCCCCCATCAGGCATGCATTCAGGACTGCAAGGATCCATCATCTATCCTGATGGCGGGAGGGCAGAAAAGCCTGACATTTTTCCTTGCCCTACCCACCTACTCCTGGTGCTTGAATGAAAATTTGATGTTTCATTAGTTTACTGTGATTTTTGCATCCGTACCTAGATAAATGTGATTCATATACCATTGAGGTTGAAAAGGGATGCAATAATGACCAGAGCTGTGGGTAGAAAGGGCACACATGGGCAGATCTTCCATGAGGAAAAACAAATCATGAAAAAGGAAATACCATTGTAGTGGAAGGACAGGACACTGAGCAGGTTTTCTGATCCAGCAGACTGGGTAAAGGAGGAATCAGAGTCCTCAGTGGCTTTGCAGGTTTTTATTGGGATTACCAGGTACACGGCAGGCAGGGGTACTGGGGGGCTGATAGACTGGCAGGCCTCCCAGCCCCCAGCAGGTCTTCACTCTGGGCTCCCCGGCCTTCTCTAGGCTTCTGTTTCTTTGCTTCTCTCTCGGCTTCTCTTTCGGCTTCTGCTGGCGTCCCTATGATGCCACCCTTAAATGCACAGTCTTAGCCCAGGTGAATCCATCTACCTAGGCCTGCACCCTATTCCAGGTGCTGGCCATCAGGCATGCATTCAGGACTGCAAGGATCCATCATCTACCCTAATGGCGGGAGGGCAGAAAGCCTGACATTTTTCCTTACCCTACAGCCATCCACCCTGATAACCTTCTTGATTACATTTAGTACTGTAATTTCTTAGTGGACCGGAAGGAGGAAGCCAATTTCCTCCAGTAAATTAATGAATGAAGAATAGGTGCCTTTACCTCTCTCAGACCTTCAACATGGGAGTAAATTAAACACAGGTGGGTTTAATATATGTGTCCAATAGGTGGTATTGTTACACAGCAACCCGATATAAATGGGTTGCCTGACTGTGGGTCCTCACCCGTGTGCTTAAAGGGGACTTAGTAATGCTAAACTGCAGACATACACAAGAGGTTGTATAAGGTTTATTTACAAGGAAGGGGAAATGAATAACTCAGGGAGAAAAAGACGGAGATAAGTTCGTAAATGCGTCCTACTTGTTCCACTGACCTGGAATCCCAATGACCTGCTGAGCTGGCAAAAAACTGAGCACATCATGTGGCCAAGAGAGTGACCCCTGGCCACACCGCCGGTTAACTACTCAAACAGAGAACATAGTTGCTTAACTCTACCCTCAGTTCCTCATAACCCTCCCTTGATCATGGGATTTGTAGTTTCCAGTGTCTTGATGGAGTGGGAGTGGAATCTACAAAGCCTGTATGGAGTTTGCTCAGGACATCTTTTCCTCCTAACAGTATTACTTACACTAGATGGAATGGAACATAATGGTCCGAAGAGCAAGAGCAGCCATGTTTCTGAGTCCTAGGGCAAGTTAGGGATAATTAGGCAGTCTCAGGGCAGTGCATGGACTTCAGGAGGGTTAGGAAGGCTCCAGAGATAAGGGCAACAGGCTCCAAAGGGCATCATCAGACACCCCAGGACTAGGGGCAACAGGACATTCCTGGACCAGGACAATATAGAAAAAAGATAAGGGCTGGGACACAGACACTGAGTTCTGGTCACAGAGACATTCAGCCAGTGAGTGAGACACTGAGAACTAACCAATCACAAAGAGACTGGTGGGGCTTTAGAGTAATCAGGGCAAGAAGGTCTGTGTTCCCTGAGGCAGGATCCACTTGGGTTTCCTTGCCCCTCCCTGGCCTGGTTTCACCGCCTGGGAGTCCCACTTTATTTCTCTTCTTTTTCTCCTCAATAAGCTTTTTATTTCTCTAAACAAACCTGCCTCTTCTCCTTGCTTGCCTGAGTGTCCCCAAGTTCCTGCTGCGGCTTCGTGAGACACCAGCCCTTGGGGGTCTAGTGGCTGGGGCTCAGCGCTGCCCCAGCAGCCTGGGATCATTCCTGGTGGGAGACCGGGCCTGAAAACCTGCAATTCGCATATCATTACCTTAAGGCCTTTAGATTTTATGGGGATGTGAGCTAGCATTGAGAGTGAGACACAGGGCAAGCTAGGAATTATGCAGTTTTAGGGACAGTGCAGGAGGGGACCTCTGAAGAATTTAGGGAGGCTTCAGAGATAAGGACAAGCAAGGGAAAGTAACCCATTCCACTAGGAAAAACAAACATCCCAGGACCAAGGACAACATTGTTAATGCTAGTCCTGGTTTCCTTCAGGTGGTAAAGGGAGGCAGAGATTGGAGAAATGGAGAGTGGTTTAATTTATGGACACATTAGAAGGGCAGCTGTTTAACTTCAATGCAGGGATGCCCATCCAGAGGACTGGGCCATAAATTTAAAGATGCAACAAATGGGGAAAGAGAAAGCTGTTAGATAAGGAATGTAAAGATCCCCCACTCAGTAGCAAATTAAGTGAGACAGACGAGAACTAACCAATCACAAAGAGACTGGTGGAGCTTTAGAATAATGAGGGAAAAAAGGTATATATTCCCTGAGACAGGACTCCACTTTGGCTTCCTTGCCCCTCCCAGGCCTGGTTCCCTGGCCTGGGAGTCCCACTTTATTTCTGCTCTTTTTCTCCTCAATAAACTTTTTCTTTCTCTAAACAAACCTCCTCTTCTCGCTTGCTTGCCTGAGCGTCTGCGAAGTTCCTGTTGCGGCTTCCTGAGACACCAAACCGTGGGGGTCTAGTGGCCTGGGCTCAGCGCTGCCCTGCAGCCTGGGATCCGTTCCTGGCTGGGAGACTAGGCCTGACAATTCCGGTATCAAGAGGAACAGATTTTCTGGGGTCTCAGGCGTCCCGTGACCTTTAAGTCTTTTCTGCTTCACTCCTTAATTGTTTTAGATCAGCCCAGGGCGGTGGAGCGGATGCTGCATGGAGCCACAAGATTTGCCTACCTCTTTTTCTGCCCCCACCGGGGAGGAGGACGTGAAGGCAAGTGTAAGAAACCAAAACCTCAGCGGATCGACATGGCCGGAAGAAACGCTGCGAGTGAGCTCTCACATAAAAACAATCAATAGGGAGAAAAAGCTGCAGGTCCCTGCGAGAACCGGACAGGTAAGATAAACCCGCGACCCGGCAAACTGCCGGGAGAGGGAAGTTGTTGATGCGAAGAGGGAGCAGCAGAACCTGCGCCCCTGCCACACCCGTGACACCGGCTCCCTCCACCTACAGAAAGGAGAAAACAAAAACAAACTAGGGCCCAGCAGGCTGGTGAGCAGAAAGGAACTGCTGCAGGCGCCACGCCCTGCGGCCAGTAACCGTGGGGGTCCGCACCCAAACCACCTAGGTGGTGAAGGTCGGGCCCTGGGTAATAACAGACTGGGCGCCCCCAGAGCAAGGCGGGGACCCCGCGGAGACCCGCAAACAGCCAAGGGCAGCCGGGAGCAAGGGATGCACCGGCGGGTGCGGCTGCCCAGGTCCCAGCCCGCGCCCTGGGGCTGTGGGGAGACGCGGGAGCCGGCACTGGGGTGAGTCTCCGGAGCGGGGTTCGCCCCTGTGGGACCCAACTCCTGGTCAGGGCGCACAGCCCGTGCCTGCGGGGACAGACAGCAGCGCCCTCATCCCGGGTCAGGGATGGGACAGGCCCGGCCAGTCTGGTCCTGGCAGCGGGGTCGGTGCAAGCCGCAGGTCTCGTCCAGACTCAGCAGGAGTGAGATGCCTGCACAGCTGTTAGGGCTGAGGAGTTGCCGTTTAGGAAGTTTAAAGTAAATGGAGCTTTATATATTTGTTCCCCTGGGGGCAACTTGCTCTCTCGAGTCCCCTTTTTTATTTTATAGGTTGTATTTTAAGGAACCTGTTGGCTCTTTTAAGTGAGGTTTGTTCTGTAGGCGCATGTTAAATATTCCAAACTAGCAGAAAAGAGTTAAAGGCTTTGGAGATGTAAGCAGGGCCATTATTAGTTGTGTGTGTTTTTTTTTTTAAGATTTATTTATTTATGCATGCAAGAACTAGGTCCAGGCCAGAGGACTCACCGGAGACAGAGTGGGGGGCAGAACAGGCAGAATGACTGAAATACAATGCTGAGGGGAGCAGTGGGCAAGTCAGGGGAGATCTGCTGGGCCATCTGGCCAGGAATGGAGCTCATGCTGCAGTGGCTGCAGACAGCTTTATAGGTTGTGCCTTAACTCCTTGCGCCACCAGGCAGGCCCTCTATTATCACTTAAAAAACACCTTTTATCTGCCAATGCAGCGATGAGAATCCCACCACAAATGAAAACTGATAATGGATCATGTTTTTTTGACATGTTTACCAGTTTATCCTGTTTGGGCTGAGGCTTGAATTAACGCAGAATAGGTGTTTTTAGAGACATAAATGTAAGGTCTATTTATCAAATAGACAAACTGGGGCTTCTGTATTATTTCTACCTTTTGTAGCAGTGGCTAGAAGAGCCAATGGACTGTTAGTTTGGAATTTGGTTATGATGTCTTGTCCCCATAGAGGAAATACTCAGGAAGACTAAAATTTAATGTGTTATGTATTTTTATCAATATACCCAGATTGACCCAATTTGTTTTTAAAAGGAAAACACTTTTATTGGCTGTCTTAATATTACGGGGCAACCTTGATATAAAACGGGTTGCCTGACTGTGGGTCCTCATGCGCACTTAAAAGGGACTTATTAATACTCAACTGCAGGTGCACACAAAAGGTTAATAAAAGGTTTATTTACAAAGGAAAGGGAAAATGAAGAAATGAAAAACTCAGGGAGAAAAAGAGGGAGATAAACTCATGAATGTGTCCTACCCATTCCGCTGACCTGGAGTCCCAATGGAATCCCAGTGGCACGCTAAGAGCTGGTGAAGAGCCAAGAGCCCTGAAGCCAGGGGAGAGACCCCCAAGGCCCACGTGTCTGCTTTTATACCACACCTGGCTGCTTAACTCTGCCCTCAGGTCCCAGGAACCCTCCCTTTGGTGGTGATGGGATTTGTCTCTCCCAATGTCTTGATGGCTTTGGTCTGGAGTGGGGGTGGAGTCCACAAAGCCTGTATGGAATTTATTTTGGAAAAGTATATATAAATGGAAAGTATATATAAATGGAAAGTATATATAAATATATACTTTCCCCCTAATATTAGGAGTCCTTTTAGGACAAAGACTTTAATATTATTTTTATTGAATTTATTTATTTTTTGTTTTTTTATATATATATTTTATTTTTTATATCATTGTTCATTTTTAAACAATATTTGCTTCCCCCCCACCCCCAGGTGTAGTCCCCATAGAGTTTCCTTCCCCAGTGCACCCTTGACCATCACCTCAGTCCCCTGTGCTCCTCCCTCCCGCTCTCTGATCCCTCCCCCCCTTCCTGCAGGATGTCTAAAGACTTTCATATGTTAGAATTTTTTGGTCTCAAGGATGTTGTCATAGGATTAACAAACTTATAGATTTTTATAAAATAGTTAATTACTCAGAGTGATAAGGATTTTTAAGAATAGAGCTATTTCTTTGACGAGGCTCAGCAATGCTGATGGGAAAAGATTTTGAGCACCTAACATTTTTGTCAGATACCTCTCTCAGACCTTCAACACTTTGTTTTGCCTTCCTATTTTTATACCATTTCATTTTAAAGAGCCATTTTATTTTAACACTCAGTGTTTTCCAATACCTTCACCATATCCATTTCAAATACATTCCTTAACACAACTCACTTTATTTACGTTTAGAGTTATGACATCCCAGTTCTTAAATTAATTCCAGAGTTGATAATTGTAATAATCCCATAAACCAAGTTTCTTTCTTAGGCAAGCACTAGATAGATTGATGAAAAACAAGAAAAATCAGAGAGACTTAATATCATATACATTTCCTACATACCTGTGAGGAACTCAATACTGCTACTTCACTTGCCCATAAGGCGGTAGATGTCATCTTGAAATTTTTGCTAGGACAAGGGGAGAGAAGTCAATTGGGGCTTTTTCTGGAAAAGAATTGTATTGAGAGAAGTTTAGGTATAATCATCAAAATGCAAACTTATCTTTTTTGATGTAGACTAGGTCAATTACTCTTTTTTTTTTCCTGAATACTGTGAGCTTCCCTTTTAAAATAAAGACATTGAAACATAAATTATTGAAACCCAATGTTATAACCATAAGGCATGCATGCTTCAAATTCAACCATTAAGTTTTTTTAAAATTTTTTTATTTTATATAATTCTTACATCATTTTTCATCTTTGCACAATGTATGCATTTTCATTTTGGTTATATTCCCCATATTGCTCCCTCCCTTATTTTGCTCTAGTTCTTCCTCTCCCTGCCCCTCCTTCCCCACCCTTCCCAGCCCATAGTGTGTCTCTGGTTTATAGTTGCTTGTTGATTTTGATTTTTACTTTGTATTGATTAGTCTTTTTCCTGGTCTCTTATTTAGGTTTTCTAAATTCCTGCTATGAGTGATTCCATCCGGTATTTTCCTTTTTCTTTCTGACTTATTTCACTGAGCATGATCCCTTCTAGCTCCATCCATGTTGCTGCAAACTGCATGTATTTATCTTTTTTGATTGCTAAGTAATATTCCATGGTGTATATGTACCACATCTTCTTGATCCAGTCATCTATTTTTGGGCATTTGGGTTGTTTCCATAGCTTAGCTATTGTAAATAGTGCTGCAATAAACATAGGGGTGCAGGTGCCCTTTGGAATTAATGTTTCTGTGTCCTTTGGGTAAATACCTAGGACTGGAATTGCTGGATCATATGGAAGCTCTATGTTTAGTAGGTCAAGAAATCTCCACACAGCTCTCCATAGTGGTTGGACCAGTTTGCACTCTCACCAGCAGTGTAGGAGAGTTCCTTTTTCTCCACAACCTTGACAACATTTGTTGTTACTAGTTTTTTTTATTATGTGCCATTCTCACTGGTGTAAGATGGTATCTCATGGTAGTTTTGATTTGCATTTCCCTGATTACAAGTGTCAACCATTAAGTTTTTTTTATTGAATATTTTTTAAGATTTTATTTTATTTTTTTGAAGATTTATTTATTTATTTAAATAAATTTTATTTTTATATTCCCCATACAATTGCAGCCCCCTTATTTTGACCCCAATCCCTCCCTTCCCCACCCCCACCCCCCATAGAGTGTCCTGCTTCATAGTTTTCTGTTGATTTTGATTTTCACTTTCTTATAGTTATTCATTTTCCTGGTCCTTTATTTAAGTTTTCTAGATTCCTGCTATGAGTGAGACCATCGGTATTTTTCTTTTTCTTTCTGTCTTATTTCGCTGAGCATGATCCCTTCCAGCACCATCCATGTTCCTGCAAATTGCATGTGTTTATCTTTTTTGAATGCTGAGTAATATTCCATGGTGTATATGTACCACATCTTCTTGATCCAGTCATCTATTTTTGGGCATTTGGGTTGTTTCCATAGCTTAGCTATTGTAAACAGTGCTGCTATAAACATAGGGGTGCAGGTGCTCTCTGGAATTGATGTTTGTGTGTCCTCTGGGTAAATACCTAGGACTGGAATTGCTGGATCATATGGAATCTCTATGTTTAGTAGGTCCAGAAATCTCCACACAGCTCTCCATAGTAGTAGGACCAGTTTGCACTCCCACCAGCAGTGCAGGAGAGTTCCTTTTTCTCCACATCCTCGCCAACATTTGTTGTTGCTAGTTTTTTTAATATGTGCCATTCTCACTGGTGTAAGATGGTATCTCATGGTAGTTTTGATTTGCATTTCCCTGATTACAAGTGATGTTGAACATTTTTTCATATGCCTGTTGGCCATTTGCATTTCCTCTTCAGAGAAGTTTCTTTTTAGCTCTTCTGCCCATTGTTTGACAGGATTATTTTCTTTGTTGTTGTTGAGTCTCATCAGCTCTTTGCAGATTTTTGTGATCAGTCCTTTATCATTAGTGTTGTGTGCAAAAATGTTCTCCCAGTCGGTGGGGTTTCTCTTTGTTTTTGTTATTGTCTCTTTTGCTGTGCAGAAGCTCTTTAATTTGATGTAGTCCCAGCTGTTTATCTTTGCCTTCACTATCACTGCTTTGGGTGATGTGTCTGTAAAGATGTCTTTGATGTGCATATCCCGTAGTGTTTCGCCTATATTTCCTTCTATGTATTTTATGGTTTCAGGTCTTATATCTAGTTCTTTAATCCATTTTGAGTTGATTTTTGTGTATGGTGTGAGGTAGTGGTCAAGCTTCATTCTTTTGTATGTAGCGACCCAGTTTTCCCAGCACCATTTATTGAACAAACTTTCTTTGCTCCAATGCAGAGTCTTTGCTCCTTTGTCAAAGATTAGTTGACCATAAATCTCTGGGTTTATTTCTGGATTTTCCATTTAATTCCATTGGTCTGTGTGTCTGTACTTGCTCCAATACCATGCAGTTTTGATGATTATGGCTTTGTAGTATAGTTTGAAGTCTGGGAGTGTGATGCCTCCATTCCCTTCTTTATTTTCAGGAGAGCTTTGGCTATTCGGGGTTTTTGGTGATTCCATATGAATTTCATCATTAATTGTTCTATTT